TTCTCCCTGAGGGGGCCCTTCTCCCTGAGGGGGCCCTTCTCCCTGAGCCCCCCTGGCCCTAAAACGTGGTTGAAAAAGAAGGTGAAAATTCAGAGTTATAGCAGGGACAGACCGACAACCCCAGGCGGTCCCTGCCAGAGAGCTGAAGTGCCTGGGTGCCCGGTGCTGAAGCGGTTTTAAAAAGTGCTGGGACAGGTCCCAGAAGGGTCTGTGGGAAAAGGCGTTGCTGGCCCTGATCTGTGCTGGAATCAGCTCTTGGCTTTTGGGAAAGAAAAAGATGTGTGTGCCTGTGTGTAATATATATACACACACATATATGTCATTTTCAAGGTATACAGTCAGGCTCGAGGGAATTTCCATGGCAATAGGGAGTGGAGAGAAAACACAAAAACTTCTCAATGAATAGGTTAAACTTCGATCTTGAGGCTGGCAAAATCACGCCAGCCTGCAGGCTGAGAAGTATAAAGGCTGTACAAGGGCTGAGGGACAAATGCAAGGTTACAGGGACAGCGCTTTAGGGGTCAGCCATGCCTTCGGTCAGAGACATGAATACTTAGGAGAAAAATTGTAGCCTCAGTGATTGCAAAACTGGTCCCAGAACTCGCTTTTGTCAGATCAACACCTTTTCATCTCAGTTACGTTAATTCAGCAGCACTCCCCTTGTACTTTCAGCCACAGGATTTGGTTCCTGTAACATATCAAGGCCTTTGCCTTCATAGCAGCGACGCCTCATTTGTCTGTGGTTCATCTAACTCTGGTTTGTTTGTTTGCAGCCAGGCAGAGGTCAGGATGAAGCCTCCTTCCAGCCAGGGGAAAGACGTGCAGATTCTCACAAAGCCGGTGTTGTTTGCGTTCCTGCAACCAGATACCATGCAACAGGTTAGCAGCTTTAGCATTTAACTTTTAATAATAGTCTGATCAGTGTGTTTTCAACAGAAAGCATCTATGTTCCTTTATACGTACAAAAGAAAGAAAATTATCTGTACTAGCCATGGCAGCGCTCCCATTTTTTTGTTCTTTTGCACCAAGTAAAAAATCCTGATAAAGTTAAGTTACAAAAATACACCTTTTTTTTTTTAAATCTCCATGGTATGCAAAACTTCATAAAAGCCTGTAGAATATTCTCCTTGTTGCCAGCTCAGAGTTAGAAACACATTGACCAGAATTCCAAGATGGTCACGTTTGAATAAATGGATCCTGATTCAGGTTTGTTGTGGTCATCGCTAGAGCCACGGAAGTTAACCAGCTTGTATCAGCAGGATCAGGACATAGCAACCAAAACCTGAGGAAATGAATGGGAAGTTCATGCAATGTGAGTACAAATTCAGCAAAGCTCATCTGGAAACTGCTTGAGACTTATTTGTCCACACGGTGGCATCGTATGTTTAGAAAGTTAGCTGTGTAGCCTACTCTGAGGGCTTCAACACTGTTCAAAGTGTGTTTAGATTCCCACGTTTATGGACTGCATGTGTGTAGAAGTAAAAGCTCCTATAAGGAATTATTTTCATCTCTTTCCCATTAACTCTGCAAACATAATATGGACCATGAGGACAAAACTCCGTTCCTGGTGAAGCTCCCTCCCTGGGCTACGTAAGCAGGTCCTGGAAAAAGTCTGCTGTGGTGGTTTGGTTTATATCATTCCAGTTGATGTCCAAGGAGAAAAATGAAACATACAGAATAAGAAAAACAAAGGGTTTGAATTCAAGTTAGGTTTTTCTTCTTTTCTTTATTTTTAAAGGCTAATGTTTCTGTGGACGTATTGTTTCACATGCAAATGGATGATTTTTATTTTTTTTTTTAAGGGCTGTGTTTCGTATTGTAGCTCTGTCTGTAGGATATCTTTTCAGTCTGGAAATACAGGACTAGATATTCTAGTTTAACTGACTTTGCGCTAAGACTGACTGCCAGCCAGCTAAGACTGACCAACCAGTATCATCTTCACAAACATATGGTGACATCATGACCTCTCTTCTCGTAACTATTGAGCTCAAAACCAGTCAAAAGCTACTGAAGAGTACCTGGCCTTCCTTAGCTCCAAGCAGCCGCTTTTGCAAAGAATCATAGAATCATAGAATCATTGAGGTTGGAAAAGACCTCTAAGATCATCGAGTCCAACCATCAAAGAAGAACCAACCAAGAAGATGTGTGCTGCTTTGCCCTCTTTCATTCAAGTCTTGCCCATTTGTAATGGAGGTGACTCTATGAACTATGGGTTTATTTGCCCTGCCTGTCAATCTAAACTGAGCTTCCTGCTACTACTGGATGGCGTGTTGTCACTTGCCTATACACTAGGCTGTAATCTGCAGGGTAGACATACTCTTAAAGCCACAAGATACTAACACTAAATTGCATAGATTATGCTCCTACTGTGGGGGAATTTCCAGGTCACAGGCTAACACCCTTTCATAGCCTTTTTGGCACCAAGACTGTATAAAGTCAAGCTAGAAACCTGCTCCATAAGGGTAATAGTTTGCAACACTCTTTAAATGACTAGTCACTTCCTCATGTGTATTTTCAGATGCTCTAGCTGAGCTAGTTAGGTGTCTCAAGTCACTTTGTTTCTGCCAGTAAGAAAGAGAGGATACACTAAGAAGCCTTTTAAGGACATTCAAGAATATACTGGTATATAAAAAAGAGGAGGAAGACACAAGAGGTTTCTGGAAACAATTGTGGCTAATTTTGTGAACTAGTGATAGATGTGTATTTGTTTGCAGAGTGAAAAAACAAACCCACAAAACCCCAAACTCTTTTATTTAGAACACTGTATACTTTTGACTTGCATAAAATGGAGTAGGTTTGGTTTTATTAGTTTGCCAAGACGATAGAAAATCTAAATGGCCTTAGTTCCAGGTAATTCTAATAATACTCTTTCAGTTAAAGGAAATTATTGCAAGGTAACAACCTAGAATGTAAATGATGAGCTGAGCAGCTGTGTGTTTATGTCAAGCATATCTGTTTTACCTAGATTATCGTTTAGTTTCTTTAAAATTATTTTTTTGATATCTTGAGTTAGAACAGAAAGAAATTTTGCTGCTCATCAGTCTTGTATACATATGTTAAGGTTGTTACCCTCTGGTGGCAGTGATGCAGAGAATCATTCTGATTCACCTTTGATATGATACATACCTTCCACTGTGTTCTTATTAAAGGCCAGCTGAGAATGGGATCCCTTTGTGCCAAAGACTATGCAGACAGAGAGACACAGATGATTTCTGTTCCAAAGAGCTTATAATTAGCTGCATTCACACATGCATTGAGCACAAAACCAGACCTCTCAGGCCATAGGCATCAGAGAATTTTGTGAACTCCGAAGAGTGGTGATATCACATCAGTGGCACCTTTCAGCAGGGTATTTTGGGGGTATATTCCCCTTTTGTGAAGGGGAGACTGGGACTATGCTTCTGAACAAGCTATTGGGCTTCAAAACTTTCTTCCAGCCTGTAGTCTAAATAAGCAGTATTTTAAGTCACAGGGAGGGAACACATTTGATACTTTCAACTTCCCAGTTATTACTCAGCATTTTAGTTACATTATATTGCAGACCTCTGGCCTTTGCAGAAGAGGTCAAACTTGACCTCGTGAAAACAGTGGAGCTAAATTATAAAAGATCCTTGTTCATATTTTAGAGTCTAGTGAACACAAAAGTCATTGTACCTCTTTTTAATGCCATTATGCTCTGTGTTTCCTGTTTTGTCTGTAGACTGGAATTTTTACAAGCCACCTACAGTCATAGTAAGTGAAATCCTGCAAAAATGTTGATATTTGATGGAACTAGTTGTAGGCTCAGCCCACTGATCATCTTGTAGTGTGACCTCAGCACAAAATTCCTTTGACTTTAAAAGGTATAGTCCAAACCTACACACTGATGCCCTTTTATATACGTATTATTCAGCTCTGCATTTAATTGGCTGCTGTGACAGCTATAACCTTGCAGTTACTTACCTGATTTGTCTTCTGGTTTTTATGGGATTGCCATATATGGCTAAAAGAAGGAGTCTGACTGTAATCAGAACTGCATCCTTAGGTAGTCACAAAGGAAGTTACGGGTTTTGCAAGTCTTTGCACTTCCCTTTTCAAAAACCTCTGCCTGCTAGTAACCAACTCCCTTCTATAAAAGGAGAAAGAAAGGGTGCAGTGAAGAGGTGAATCTGATTATGGGTAAAGATGCGGTATCTTAGAAAATGTACTTACAGGTAGGATAAAAGCCTCCTGCCGTAGCCTATTAACTGAGAGGAAACATGTTGTCGCCGAGATG